GGTTTCAGTCTATCAAATGCACGGTGAATGGATGCTCGTGCGACTCGTTCACCCCGGGGAAGAGGCACATCCGGTACTGCGACAGGTGCCACCATGGATGGGTGCCACACGGTGAGTAGTCGGCCGAAAATTTTTTTCCCACCGTTTGCTGGAAACAAAAGAATTTGCGCTTCTCTCTCTCTCTCTCTCTCTCTCTCTTTTTCTCGGTTATATTCGCATGCAAATTATACTCGACCGCCGTCGATATATTAACGTCAAAAGCGATTAAGATTACGCCTTTTCTTTTTTTTTTTTTTTTTCGGCGTAAAAATTTTAATGGTAAACGGGGAATATCGATTTTAATTTAAGACGCCCGCTTATCTCGTTCGCATTGCAAATGAGTGAAAAATGGCGCGCGCATGTGTACATAACCCGGCGTCATTAGTCAATACTTTTTGTTAAAAATACATTGGGGGGAAAAAGTTTTCCCCCGAGCGATTGCAAAGATTAATCTTTACTTCCTGTACACGGTACGGACGGATGTTTTAAAAATTGGGACGCAACGAACGCGAGAGAAACGCGTATCAATTTTCTTATTACCCTGAAATTTTTGCCGAGCTGGCCGAGATAGAGATCGAAAGATCCCTCCCTTCTTTTAACGAAATGTGAAAATAATAATTACGGGATTAATTTTGCTACCACGTGTCATATTGCCTCTCAATTTTCCTCGTCTGCAACAACAATTGTGCTGTTTTTTAATCATTCTTTTAAATTATAACAACGTTGTAAATAGATACGTTTTCAATTTTAAATACATATCAAATTTTCTACTAATTCAAATTTATTAGCCGAGAAAAATTTTTTAAAATTTTTACATCTCACTCTATTTATACACGTCTTTTAGCCACCAAGAACACGTAAGATCAAAAATCCTGTCCAGCAAATGGTCTGGCCATCATCTCGAAACCAAAGGAAAAAAAAGGAAAGATCCAGGATCGGCAAGATTTCCGCGTTGGGATCGCGTGCACCCGGTTAAACGCAAATTTTCCAACTGTCAGCATACCTCATCCAGGCCGGCCCTCAGGGACGAAATTCAATTTTCCGAGGATGACCAGCGGCGTCCCTTCGCGGCGTCCCCCCACCAACGGCTTCGTTCCACCCTTCTCTGCGCACGCGATCGGCCCGCGTATAAAAGGGGGAGGAGAAGGGGTGAGCGAGAGCTTTATGTCCTCGTAAGTTTCGAAAGGAAGGGTGTATGTTGTACACAGGGTGTTGTATACAGCAGGCTTCCTCTTTCAGGAAATTTTTAACGAATGTGAGAAGTGATTAAAACGTGTTTTTAAACGTACTTTTAAAACTCGAAGTTATTGATTTGGGAACACTTCTATCCTTTTTTTGATTGGCTCGTCAAGGAATTTTTGAAGGAAGGGATGCTTTTCACTTTGGAAATTTTTTTCAAGCTTTGATTGGTCCACTAAGAGATTTTTGGGGTGCTTTGAATTCTTTCTATCGTGACATTTAAAAAAAAGTAATTAAAAGTAATTATTGATTTGTCAAGGAATTTATCGTGATATAGGATACTTAAAAATCGAAATTATTCATTTGTGAACAGTTCTATCCTTTTGATTGATGATTGTCAAGGAATTTTTGAGGAAGGGGTGCTTTTCACATATGAAAATTTTTTGTTGTATATAGGTGATATAGGTGTTTGAAATTGTCGAGCAGTTCAATCTTTGGAAGTTTTTGAGGAAGGGGTATTTTTTCTGTGAATTCTTTGTATCGTGGTACAGGTATTTAAAAATCGAAATTATTGATTTGTGAATAATTCTATCTTTTTGATTGGCTTATCAATGAATTTTTGAGAAAGAGGTGCTTTTCACTCTGGAAATTTTTTGTTGTATTGTGATCTTTGATTGATTCACTAAGAGATTTTTGAGAAAGAGGTGAATT